ACATGTTTTTCCATACTTTTCTCAATAATTATAAAGTAGACATCACATTCAGAAGTATTAAGTGCAGTATGGCAGTATTTGATTTGAATTCAACCTCTAAAAAACACATAAAAGACATGTGACGAGAACCTTAGACCTATGTTACAGTTCATGCTGCATAAAAAATTGAGAATCTATTGTTTTTTTCTTTATATTCAAAACACTTTTAGATCTTTTTTTTCTCCAAAAATAGAATGGATGTTATCTTTTGAACACTTGACATGAAAATGAATGGAGGTTTTTACAGATTTTTCATGATTTCATATGTGCATCACTATTTCAAAATAAAGGTCAGAACTCGCTCTCTGACTCTGATGAGTACTCTTCTTGCAAATTAATAAATTACAGTTGCTCTGTAAAATATTTAAAAAACGAGTCACCAAATATGAAAACTAGAGTCTTTAAGCTTTCAAGCGATATATAGTTTGTCAAGATTACTTTAGGTTCAGACTAAGATATTACTGTTTAAAACATGTAATGACAAGTGGGCCCACCGGTGGGCCAGTGACAGTTAACAGTTAAACTTAACAACCGGATACTGATATTCAAATATTCTCTTATATGGGAGTTTCCATAAAGGTTCCGTAAAGTGCTAATTGGTGCATACCTTCATGTCTTTAGGCTCTCCCATCTTAAAAGAATAGCTCACACATAAATTGTCATTCAAAACCTTATTTTATGCTCTGTGTGGAACACAAAATGAGATCTTTAGCAGAATGTTCAAGCTGCTTTTGAATTACCAATCACACAAGCAGATGGTAATTCTCACTCTCAAGTCAGTCTTAAATCAGTTCCTCTGAGGTAGCAGATGAATGTGTGTATATGAGGCCCAGACAGAGCATATGTGTGTGAAATACAGATTGTAAAGCTGAATGTTAGATTGGGTTCTCTGCTGATTACTGCACTGCCTGACTTTGCTCCGTCTGCTAAACTCCTCCACACCAGCATGTACCCCATCCCACCTAGCCCTCCTTTCTTCTGTGTGAGCTCCTCTACCACCAGCTCCATTCCTCAGTTGTCCTCAGTTGATTTTATTTCCTTTGGGCCTAAATAAGCAATTACTTGCATAAGCAATTACTTTCCATGTAGTCTCATTGTCTTTTCTTAGCTCTTTATTCTTGTGAATATGCTTCTGATCTGTTTGCCTTTCTGTGCTTTCTTTTACTATTCCCTTAATGTCCTTCTTTCTCCGTCTTTTACTACTTTGACATTTTGCTCCGTCTTTTCTTTCTATCTCTTTCCTGATGGGGCCCTTCTCTGCCTCTGCAGGCCGTTTCTTTGATGAAAATGAGTCCCCTGTAGATCCGCAACATGGCAATAAGCTGGCGGACTATAACGGGGATGATGGCAACGTGGGTGAGTATGAGGCGGACAAGCAGGCCGAGCTGGCCTACAATGAGGAAGAGGATGGTGATGGTGGGGAGGAAGATGTCCAAGGTGAGCCAGGGGGATTGCGACTGCTTTGCTATTCCGTCTCCTCTCCCCATCCCTTGTGCTGTTGCTGTGCTGCTAAATTAAGCTGCTGGTTCAGTCATCATGGGCTCACAGCATACTGAAGTACTGTCAGCTCGTTTGGCCTAATGCTTGAAAGGCTTGTTGAAGGGGTCAATCGAGGAGGAAGCCCTCACCTCAGTGTGCTGAGAGCATGTGTGAATGTGAGCTCTTTAACCTTACTGGACCATGTGGTTATGAGACTGAACCTTCTCTCCAGTCATTGTCTTTACTAATTGGCGTGCTTGTGTGTAGTTATTGTGTTTTCGGTGCATGTGACACCTGTGCCATCAACGCCACAACACCTGTGTTGAATCCTTTTCACTAGGGTTTTGATATTTTAAACGAGTTGTTTTGAAGTCACTGCTGTTTAGCCTTGTAGAACTGGGCCATCTTAATGCATTTTGCCAGTTTTTGCATCGGTATCACTTAACACTTGTGACAGTTGTAAACCCTATGTCTCTTAGGCCATGTTCACAATGCAAAGTCTAGAGAGTGACAACTGCATGTAAGTGCAAGAGTGAATCCTGTACTTTTCTGTTCCGTGTGTGTACACCATGGTTAATATTAGGGCTGCACGATATTTCCAAATAACTAGTATATTTGCAATAACTCAAACAATTTGGTAATTTTAAGTTTTCTGGTTGATTATAACTATATATCACCATGTTGAGAGTTGGTAGTATTTACATTTGGATTGTTTTAATAAAAATGAAATTACATTCTAAGATTTTACATTATTTTTTATTCAGTGTTGCAGTAAAACTGCTGCTCCCTTTCAGAAGTTGTTGTGAAATGTGTGTTGGTAATATTATTTTTATTTTTTAAATGTATTTAAATATAAGTTAAATTGATTTTACACTGATCTTAGACCATTAACGTGTATTGCACATCACATTAAGTTAGCGCATATTGCATGTCTTCAATATCGTGCAGCCCCAGATTATATAGTAATGACCATAGAAACATTTTGGCAGCTGTAAACAAAAAACAGATAGTGACAGTTTTACTTGCCATTTTTGGCAAAAATTACCATCTGAAAAATGTTAGTAAACAAAAAGGACAGGCAGTGACAACCACATTTATATAAAATATGCATGCTGTGTATGGAACCAACTCTTTTTAGAAACAACAAACACTGCCTCTTCTGGCTGAGTAACTCCTGAATTCTGTATACACACAGCATGATAATTTACGGTAGGCTGTAAAATCGATTAATTGAAACCAAACGATTTTACAGCCCTAACTTATGGGATTCAGACAATGTGGTTGTCACTCCCAAAACTTTGCAGTGTGTATGAGGCCTTAGTAGCTTTCACTATTATTAGTTTAAATGTGTATAGGCATATTTTTCTTCACCCATGAAAGTTACGCTAGTTAGTTAGTCAGCCATTGTTGTAATTGTAATCACTGAATTGTAATTATACCTGTTGTTGTATCTTTCAGACGATGAAGATCGGGAGGCTCCAGGTGAAAGGGCTGTGGATTATGGAAAGCGACATCAAGCCATTGACGTCCTGTAGTTCAACCTCTCAAAGATCCTTTACATTGAGCTTTGGATGCTTCTAACAGTGAAGTAGCCAAGCCAGGAAAAGGAACTTTGGATTTCACCTGCAATTTTGGTATCATGATTGAAGACATTCAGACTATTCAAACTATTTCAGTGTCTTCAGAGGAATGAATTTCAGCGGTTACGGCTGTGAAATCAGTGACTGCGGATGAATTTCAATCAACTTAAATACAACAGTGATTTCATGATCTGCTGCAAATGTTTGCTTGCACATGACCTAATTGGAGAGTATTGTTTTCATGTTTGTTTTTTTGCCCCCATCTGTAGCACAGGTCTATCAGAATTGGGATTTGGAACTAATATATTGTACAAATTTTTTTTTTTTGGATAATAAAATACCTTCTCCAGGGACTGGAGGACACTACTGTAATAGATAATACGGAAGTAATATTTCTGTTAGATTCACAAAGTGGAACATATTGATACTACTGATGAAAAGGACCTCTACAACACCAGTTTTCCTTTCCTTTTTTTTTTTTTAAGAACTGCTGAAAAGCTTAATCTCCCTTTATCTTTTTGGACAACTGTTGCTAAATCGAAGTGTAAACTATGGGAAGATGCAATTAAGTTGCGGTTCAACTTTTTAACCTCTCACTGGTACATAATGACACCAATTGGCCAGACGTGTTTTATTTTTTTTTTTTTTTTTTTTTTTTTACTACTGTTTCTAATTCTGAAGGAGCACTCAGAAGTGCACATGGAGTCTTGTAAAGACATTGTTGCATGCAAAAAGCAGCATTTGTAAATCAGCCTGTAGATCATCAAGAAAATGGAAAAAAGCAATACTCGGTGCCACAGACTAAACTCATCACAGCTGTTGGCCTGCTTCCTTTCTTACTGGTAGCTGTAAATGTACAGTACATATGAGGAATCTGTGTGACAAGGAATGCTGTAAAATTGCTAAACTCTCAAAAGGACATAATGATCATAGACCTGTTTGTGTTTGTTTCATAATTAAGCTAAATTTGGTAGGGTTGGCATACTGAATGTACTCTTATAGCTTGTCATTGTTTTTGAGATCTGTCACATGGGTGTTTGGGCTCTCTTACACAACTGTGCAGTGCAATCCAAGGATAACAATTAACAAAATACTCTATATTTCAAATAAACTGGTCCTGTTTTGGAAAAAGTACAAATTCTAACACTATGACTGAAGTATAGAAAGTAGTAGCATCAAGAAGAGCACCCATAAATCTTCATTCATTTGTCCCAGGCTGCTTTACAAACATAAATTATTACATTACGGTAACAATAAAATATTTTTTTCTGTATAAAGTATTACTGTCTGTTTACATTAAGAACGTTTATATAAATTTGTACCTATTCACCTTACATTGACCATATTTCAAAATATTTTGTTCTAAGACATATGTATAAGAAATGACTTTGCATCATCATATGATGGCATCTGAAGTAGAATGGAATTGAAATTCGCTTAATTCAGGAATATACAGGCATTCCACCGAAGTGCTTCGTAACGGTATTGCCATGACAACCAGAACGTGCCTTTCCTTCTCATCTCATACCCAGTGCGCTCGTTGTTTTTACTGGCTGCTTGTTGTCCATGTGCTATGCATAAATAAATATGATGTTTATGCTAACACACAGTAGTTAGTCTGCTACTTTTGTTTTATTATCAAACGCTAACATATCGGAGCCACATTCCTGACAGAATAATTAATTGAATGATACTGACATCTACCTGGTAAATGCCGACACTAACTCCTACAAGGCTACCTGGTAAATGCCGACATTTTTGTCGTTTTGAAACGGAATTACTCTCCGCTCTGCGTTTTTGCTAAAGCACGTTTTATATGATTCTCGATGTTGTAAAGTGTATTTTTTAAATAGATACTGTAAGCTAAACCTGTCGCACTGCGAAGCCTCAATATTGTTTTGATACTCGGAACAACAGAAAGGGGGTGTGGGATGCGCACCGCAGGACGCATGCTCGCTCTTCTTCATCCGGGTACCTGCCGTTGACTGTGTGGGTACGGAGGCGGGAAATGGCGTCCAGAGGTGCGGGGAGGACAGAGGTGAACCTCGCCTGAAGAGGCACGCAAAAAAACAGCAAGCGTCAGCAGCCCTGAAAACGACCGTGATCCTGCGACTCAATCCCCGGAGATTCGTCCAGTAAGTAATTACCCCGTCTCTATTGCTTGTGGGAATGGGGTCCCCGCAAACTCCCGCCTGTTCGCTCCGGTCGGTAATGTTTCGCTGTGGTTCGCTCCCGTAGCACCTATACCCGCGGCTAGGCAGCTGCCGTCTTCGCGAGTCGTTCCCGCGTCATTAGAACGCTGCCGACTGTTTTGAGTGGCACACGAGGCTTCTAGTAACAGCGGGTCACGAGAGACAGGTTTCCTACGGAGAGAATGCGTGCATGCGTCCTAACGTTACATGGAAGATAGACATGCACAGATGTGTCAAGAGCGTTTGCTGCATGTAAAAATACATCTCACAGGCTGTGGAGTTGTGTAATCATTGTGTGAACAGTTATTCTTAATGTCTGGCTAAACGGGGAAATCGTGAGAAAGTTGCTCGTCTTCCGCACAGAATCTCTTTAGCGTGTGTTTCCTGCCCACCACCACACTGTGTTCAGGTTTCAGCGGCTGAACTTCATAATTTCTGAAGTGTCTGATGAGGTTAATCAGTTATGGTGTGGCAACACTTAATGTGTTTTCTTTCTTTTCTTCTTTTTCTAAGGTCAGACTGTAGTTATTTGACTGTAGGGAAGCGGTCCTCACCCATTGCTATTCCATTGTCAAGTCAATATTTCAAGGGCCCTCACAGAGGCTCAAGATTTTAATGTGTTCTTCCTTTTTTGTTGTAAAAACTAAATACTTTTTATATATATATATATATATATATATATATATATTCTGCTGAATTAAGATGTAGATTTTGTTACTGCAAATATTTTTCATAACTCAAACTTTCTACACAACTAGCCTATAACTTTCTAAAGATACTAGAAAATACAACAATTTAGGATCTGCTGTCAATTTAAATTATATTTTAAAATATTTAAAAATGAAAATTATATAACCAATTTGTTTCACATTCTTTCTTGGTAAAGAAAGAATCACTACAACTTCTGAAACAGTTTTAACTACATAAAAAGTAATGTCACAAATCAGAAAATGTAATTTTAACATCAATGTGAACATACAAACAAAAAAATGAATGAAACTAATATGAATGACACTAATTTTATATCATTGTAACTTTGCTTTCCATACACTTTAAGTACTTCTTCATATACCACAGCAAAAACTATAGTCTGAGAAAGTTCAAACATGATTAAAAGCAAGTGAACAGTCAGTAAAAAAAAAGAAAGAAAAAAAAAAGAAATACACAATTTACAAGCATAGATAAAATAAACAGTAGTATTCAGGTACAGAAATTTAATAATTAAGTGTAAAATAACACTACATTGTGTTCACTGTATGAATTAAATTTAGATTAATCTTTGTTATAGCTGTTTTGTTGTTTGATTAACATTAGGGACATATTCAGCAGCACGTATTTATAGGCTGCTGTCCCTTTAAATCCGACTGCACGGATCTAGTATAACGCCCCATTCACACGGGGCGTCAGCGTAATGTTAGAGGGTCAAGTTTTTTAATAAAAAACAAGCAGATAAAATTAGAAGTAGCATTAGAATAGAGAGTGCTAGAGTTAGAGGGTCAAATGAAGATGAAAGAGATGTGTTTTCAGTCGTTTCTTGAAAATATTAAGGACTCAGCTGCTTGGATTGAGTTGGGAAGGTCATTCCACCAGGAGGGAACAGTTAATGTAGAAGACCATGAAAGTTTTATCATAGGTAGAATGCAGAATGTTTCAATACAAGCATTTCAGTCAAATGTAATTTATGCAATATTTCAAACCTTTAACCCACTTGGGAAAATCAACCCACGGCCACAGTTTAAAAGTAGCCCAATTCTGTGGAAAAAACGCGGACTTGGCAACCCTGCATCTAACGAGAGCTACCGGAGTCGGATTTGCCTGATCACAGGTCGAGAATAAGTAGAGATGACTGACAAGGCCATGCTGGAGTATCTTGTAAGATGTGCTCCCTTTACACATGCGTGTGATTGCGAAATCGAAAGTGAAAGTAAACCGTGCAAACGCTCATTCAAAAATATTTAAATACACCGCATACTGAGAGTGGCTCCCTGATGCGCCAAAATATACAATATTAGAATGTTTAAAAGATTGGACACGAAAATCGCGGGAGCGAAACACATGTTGCGGGAGCAGGCGGCAATGGTCAGAGATTCAGCGGGAGCGGGATTAAGAAAACAGCCGAATCCCGGCCGGACGCATTTTTGTAGGTCCAAAATCTGCGCTAGGGTATTTGCATAAGGCGATCTGATTGGCTGACGCCTGCTTTGGTGCTTGAAAAGTTGAAAAGTTTTCAACTTCTGCCACAAGCAACGGGCCCGACGCGACGGACCCACAATTCATTTCGCCAACGCTTGACGTCACTCCATTCAAAGTAAACGAGAGGCGTTGATGCCGATGCC